TAGGAACGGCTAGCGCAGATAACCCTCGTGTAGCTTTGCGTGAAATTCAAAACAAACAAACTCTTTGTGAAACACTATAGTTTATGTTGTTATTTTCTGTTACCAAAACGACTTCCCGTCAAGGAAATTTTCGACTCTATTTAATATTTTAATGAATAATGGGATTTCAGGAAGAGTTGGTAAGTGGGTCAACACAGTGTGTATTTTGTTGCTTTTTTGCGTTTCTTTTGCTTTCAGGATTATATATTACTTCGTGGAACCTACGTATATGCTTCATATATTTTGGGCGGCGCGTGTTCTAATTGCGATCGGAAGGTCAAAGGTTCGACCCCACGATATGCTGGTGAACACCTCCGCAAGTTAAGTTGTGAGCACGTTATAAAAGTGAAAGCAATTTTCATTATACGCTTAAAGGCAGCCATGAAGGCAGCAAGTACAACTGTCTTGTTTCTCTTTTTCTTGTCAACAATTGAAAATTATGAACAGTTATCCCTGAACCTCGGGGTTACTAGCCTGGCCATTTAGTCATTGTATCGCATAAGGCTTATTTACACATTTAATTTATTCCATTATTTATTTATAAGTAAACAAATTTGTAAATAAAGAAAATGGGGAGTCGTACACTTCCACAAACAAAATTTCATGTTGCATTACTAAGTCAATCTATTTCTTACTGGCTACAAAATGTCAGTTTTTGCAAGTTTTCATCAGTAAAATAAACCACAGTATCGATATTTTATTCACGTGTAGTACCAGGATGTTCATGTAGTTTCACTAGATAATTGAATCGCCCCGTTTTCAAGTAATCTACGACAGAGTCGGGATTATCCAATTGCATGTAACATCGTGAATTTCTTTATTCACTTCTGTTTGGAAACTAGTTGTTATACACATTATTTGTAGATTCTGCTATAAAACCGTATGGATGGTATCATTCGTGATTGAAAACCGTTACGGAAACTGATTATATTTCAAGTGTCAATTTAATGTTATGGTTGGTGCTACGAGGAAGTATAAAACTCGGCCGACACCAATACTGTTATCAGTGGACCTTAGCCAAGTTATTAGACTAAATGCACTTTTTACATCGCAAAGTACAAGCAGTTTCAATTCAAGTGCAGAATGCATAAAAACGACGTCTACAGCCACTGCATTTAATTACCTGTGAGCCCAACATTGAATCCACTGTATTTTAACGTAAATCTTAAATAGCTGTTCTTTAAGATGTATCTCAAGTAAGATACGATGATTATTAATAATGATCTTCCTAAAATGTACCTCTGCTTGCTTTGTTCGTCATATCATGATTATAATACTTAGTTAGGACTCAGAAGTCATAAAACCTCTATTTGTTTTAAAGATTTCAATGCAATATAGTGTATTTTATTAATAGGTCAATAGATGGCGGTGAAAACTTTAGTTTTAATTTCCTAAAATGATTATTTAGCAAAAGGTTAACTCATAATCATAAACAAATTATATGTTCCTTATTTTTTTTCATATGAAAATAATATATACATAGCACATACATATGCATGTCAGGGGCCCCAGATCATGATGAAATTAGAATACTGGAAGGGAGGATCTAATATAATTTGAGTCACACTTAGAAGCTGGTGGTGGCATCAGGGAGTTCCATGAAGAGATGTGTAATTGAATGTGTTTTTATTATTCCCTGCGTCTATTCGTGTCTGTATAGTATAACAAAGAACTTCCGCCACTATTATACCCATATCTGTTCTCTGTAGTAAATGGGAGGTTAGTGTAGGAAGAAGCAACTGCTTGGCGTGTCACTCGTAACTATAAGTTATAATTTACATAGTCACTAAATTGCAGTCTCTCGTCTTTGTAACTGTAATATTTTAAAAATTATGAGCATAGGGTTAATAGAAATAGTCTCCCATGTTATTAGCGATTCATTTTTTC